CGTTGGTCATGAGCACTCCCGATGTAGCGAATGAGCGCGTAGAGATGAGTCTCGTGATGTTTAAACAAGTGCCGAAAGTAGATAAGGTGCCGTTAAAGTGCTGGAGATCCCAAGTCTGGATCCGGTGGATTGGAAGTGATTTGGGTAGAGGAAAATATACGAGTTGGGGTGGAAATTTTCAACCTCGACGCGACAAAATAGAGAATTCTCAGCCCGGCTCGCAGAGATGAAAGTGAAGAAGATTGACGTTGCTGTGGGGGGTGACGTGGAGTGTTGGTAAATCGACCAAGTCCGTTTGTTCGAGGGACTGGTTGGGACAACGGCTCGGCGTTGCTGACCGTGAGGCACAGACAAAGTGGCTCGCCGATGAAAAACAGGTCAAGTGATGAGATGCATCCAAGGTGCCAGCGCAAAGTCAATCTAGCGACAGCACACGTGCTGTGTCGTTGACGAGGCCTCAAGTGAAAGAGTCCGGGATAGAGGGGGGGTTCTTGATGATCGTTCCATCTAACTTTATGATGCCCATCAACACTGAAACACGAGATTGATTATTTTTTGAAGCGGTGTGGTCTTGCAGAAACACGAGGGCTTTCGTGAGACTCTCCTATTTCTCGCAGGTACAGCAACCGTACTTGTTTGATATTTTGGGGGTGCCTGGAGTAAGATGCATGCAGTCTTTGTGCAACCTGTGCAGCCGCAATGGGGGGGCTGTGCGAAGTGCTTCTAGCGAAATCGTGATGTTTTTGACGAGCGGCTGATCTCTTTCGGGGTCGTACAGCCTCAAGGCGAGCACGAGGCTCCAGAAAATGAAGAATGTAACTATACACTGGTCTTGATCAGATATTTTCTTCAAAGACCCGTCGCGTGTTGTCGAGTTGAGACTAGTGGCGGTCCACTGGTGAGCCTTGTTGCCATTCCGGAAGAAGTGCCCGGTGATTTCTGAAGGGCTCACGCCGTCTGAATTACGCCGAGTAAGTCCTCTCAACTCTTGATGCGTGGGATTCCAGCCATGAAGAGTCTGTCGACTCTCAAACTTCTCTCGAGTCCGAATCACTCGAAATAAACGCGTGGCGGTAGCCTCTCGGAACCCCTGCATGCATTCGGTGTCTACGGCACAACGACCACCGACGTGTCCGCCTCCCTTCCCTCCCCTCCCCGCCCCCCACCATCATCACCAACACCATCACTACTACCAGTAGAGTAGCATCACCAGCATTGTTACCGCGTATGTGAACCGACACACTCGTCATCCTTTGCTAGCAAGCGAAGATGTACGCCAGGCGAGATGAGCGCATTACGCACGGAGCAGGCAGGCTTTGTGCACGATCTCCAATTCACACGGCTGGTCCAAGGACAGTTCTCCTTAGAGAACCTTGACCTCCATATTTCTGCGGGCGCCCTGCGCAGTCGACGAGGAAGCTGAAAGAAGTATCGACGTCTTCTCCAGCTCTGTACACAGCTGCAACAAGCCGCAATTCCATGCAGGTTGGCTGATCAGACAGATTTGACGTACCGCGGAGCTGTCAAGCCCCGCCGAATGAAAGTAAGGCCTTTCCCCACGGATCATTAAACCGGAGAGATACGGCTGCCTTGGGATGCCTCACCGACCTCTCAAGAATAGCAATGGAAGGCGCTGGGTGGCGTCTTCGTCGCAAGCTCGAGGCGGGGATAGAGCCAGCAACTGGCCGAACAACGCATCACAAACCCCCCTCATTCCGTCCAACATCATCGGTGCCTTCATCGAATACAGTCTATCTCCTGCTTTCACAGGCGACAAGGCCCCTCCAATGCACCATGACAGGCCGTGACCGAGAGGCTGGAACATTGATGGGCGGACATGTGCAGACACGGATGCACAGCGACCACCCCCGCTCATCGCAACCGACCCCAGGAATCTTTCCAATGCGGAAGCAATATACGCAGGCGACACGGCAGGATGAGCATGGCAAGTCACCTGCATTCAAGCCCAGCACACCCGAGCAAGCAGATACTCTTCGCCAGCATGGCACTGATTGGCGAGCTCCTCTGCTGACTGCGTCTTGCGTGTCACGTCCTTCCAGCATAAGACGCCTGCTGCATGAGACACGCCAGCTCAAGCAAGAACGAGCTCACCAGCTTCTGCGCAAAGCGTCAGACGCTTTAGGGAACGTTGTGCTTAGGGTAAGGGTCGTCTAGTGACATCTTGAGTACGACCTCGACCTTGAGCCACCTCGCAATCAGCTTGTTCGGCCGACAAAGCATGCCAATCTACTACCCAAGTAATGGGTCCTTCTACCAAGGGGACGCCTTGGCGATCATACCATCCTCTTTGGATAGGCCGTTGAAATGATGCTGTAACATGATCGTATCATACCCATTCATTCCAGTATTGATACAGCCATCATGATGAGGCGACATCAAATTCGATTGCTCATCTGGTCATGCACATTCGACGAAGGCGACGACACTCTCGCTGGCAGAGACTGCAAGACAATATCCTGTTCAAACGAGTCGTGTGGAACGTACTCAAATATTCCAGGTCACCACGATCAGACAAAGTATGCACTCGTCCCAGATCGGACAGAGAATGGGTCGCTTCCGATACTTGCCTGTCCATATCCATGCAAGTCAGTCGGAACTGTGCTTCCTGAGACGGCTGAGGGACTTTGTGTTGTTTCACGCTAAGTGCGGGCTGTTCCCTAGACTTCCAACATCAGACGGGCCCGTCAGGAGAAAGGACTTACTCCCCATTTGGACGCCATTAATTCACGCCATGGAATCCCTGGATTATCTTGGGTAAACGACGCGTATCCCAAGTATCCGACCAGGGTGCAACACTTTTATTCTAATCCTTCTCTTTTTTCTTTTTCGCACTCCAGCCCCTTCTCCTTTTTTCTCCTTATTGTCCTTCTCTTCCGTATTTCTTCCCGTCGCTCCCTTTTCTCCATTAACTGTCAACTCTGCTTGCTCGTTCTCAGTAACCAAGCAATATTCCAGGTCGGATGGCAAAATTCCAGGGACCGGGTTTCGCATCCGGAATATAAGTGGCCAACCGTCACGGAGTAAAGCAAACGCTGTGCGATAGTGCATGCCAGTTACCGAGATGCGATTGACATGCCACACTCTGGATGACCACTTCGAGCTTTTGCCCATGAGTGCCAGGTAGGGACGCTGATGGTCGACTTTCTCAGAGAAGACTAGAAGCTGTTGCCCTTGATAGTATTCTCATGGGTCCCTCCCACATGCATCTGGCAGAACGTTTTATTGTCCTTTACCCCATTGCTGAGCGAATAGCGTGTGGCTACGAATGGAGTAGCCTGGAATACGTACAATTGCCTTTCACATGCCATTGCGTAACCATGGGCCCTTGGAGGCTCACGCCTGCCAAACCCAAACGACCCCGGCTTACGTGCGCTACTTGTCTCATCGCGTCGTAGAGTAGCAGCGACTGGGAGCTTATTCCTCAAGCATGGATACCGGCTTGCCAGAGCGTACTAAGTAAATGCAGTATGGAATCTGAAAGCTTGCGTCCGCATGCTCTCACCCTGTTTCTGCTCAATCGTACGATACGAGCACTCTATGTTAAACGACGGTGCAGCTTCGCGACACGCAGCCCTGGTATCAGTATATCATAGACACGCTCAGACATGTTATCTCCATGCGGTCGACCGGACGAAGGGTGTGGTGGCGCCTCCCATTGCTACCTCGCGGAGATGGCAGGCGCCCCGATGGGCTGCGTCGAGGAAGGCTATGTACAGTTACGCTTTGACTGTACTCTAGTCGTTGCGATCGTATGCGGCTATCTACCGTTCTGTGTCGTCCTTCGTATCTGCGATATTGTCAGTCGGATGGTGGAGACGAGGGTGCAAGCAGCGTGGGGACAAAGCAAGCACAGTCTATAGCTTGCTGCTTGCTTGTCTGTCCAGCCCACTTGCCTGCTCGCAGCGCCACTGCGACTGCAGAGGAATGGCAACAGGCAAATTTTCATATGCTCAAGCTCCAGCACAAGTAAATCCCAGTGGTACTGTTCGCAGTAGAGCTCGCCGACGGCGGCTGCGAAGCTGCGTGGATCTGGCTGACCCTGGCCACTCTGCACCGTCTCACCCAATGGGCTGCAGTGTACATGTCCCTCTGTTCCTGCACAGCAGACAGACTCACTTCTTCTCTGCACAAGCAAGCCTTGAAGCCCCGAGACGTAGTCGCCCCATTGCCACCAAAGACACACGCGAAGCCCGCACCGCCGGTGCTATTTCTGTTGTGCTCAACATTGTCAGCAAGAAGTCTCCCTCATGCCCATGGTCGTAGAAACCCATGACACCACGCATCCCCAAGTCGCCTCGCAAGAAAAATGTGCCGTTCCGTCTGGCTGCCATACCTCGTCGTTCGGTGGTGCCGCTGCGTCGTCGAACCCCCAGGGTAGACTTTACAACTAGCATTCGTACCGCCACGGCCCGTGCGCAGTTACTCCTCTGCAAGCTGCAATTGTAGCAGGCGCTGCGGCGATGTGGGGTGAGCTTGCAGTGCAAGTTTTTATCATGCAGTGTATATATTCTTCCTCTCTACAGGGAAAGAAATACGCGGCGCAGTTTTATGCGGCGACGTGGACTCTTATCCCGTTCTTGGGCGTTTTGCTCCCGATCAAGGGGCACCGGGGCATGTGGGCATCACATGATAACATTGATGTCACGGCGTGATGGAAAGCACAGGCGAGAGGACAGGTGCAAGCAGACGATCTAATACGCTCAATCGGATATCATGCAGTATCTCAGGAAATCCCCGCCTGTGTAGACCGCATCCTCGCCTTCACGACTAGTGATACCGCATCGCATGAATTTGAGCTTGAGCTCGAGCAGTGGGATAATCTGCTTGTTTTGTGGTCTAAGCTATGCTATGCTACGCGCCTCCTGCGTACCGGATGCTCGTGTTTTGGGGGGATGAGGATAAAATCGAGACAAGTCAAGACAAGACAAATACCTTTGCACACCATCATCCCAGAGTCTGAGCAATACGGGATATCTCGTATTCACAGTCTGCCGTCTGGCTGCCATGTATACGCGACGCACGTGCTTGGGTGGCGCCGGCATCATAAATGTCCAAGGCGCATGTAGCACTTGGACTACTGTGTGTATATACATGTGTGTTTGTGGCCGTGATATGCTTGTGAAGTGCGAGTGTGGGCGTGGAGGCAAAGAATTACTAGTACGAATACGACGACGACTGAGAGTTTTGATGATTGGATTAGAAGGGGTGATGTTTTTGCTAAGAGAAAGAGTCAGGGTGAGGGGGGGGATCAAGACTAGTGTTGTTGTGATTGAGGGCGTGGATTGAGAACACCATCCACCATCAAGAACAACATCAAGAACAACATCAAGAACAACATCACAAGCAAGAAAGCCAGAGGTTTGAGCAAAGCCCTTTCATTGGTATATCATGTGCCTTTGCATAGAGGAGTAGCTACAGTGAGCACTCAGTCAATCCG